GCAGCCGCAGAGCTGCCGGACCCCTGCTGGAGCCAGAGGGCAGCAGAGAGAGGGAGGCCTCCTGGAACCCCACCCCAGTGGCCGCGCATGACCCTCCCCTCCGCTGGCCACTGCCTTAGCGTCCTGGTAGGAGCCGAGACCTTGTAGTGCCCAACCTAGGCCTGTGCCCGGGCCGCACAGGACAGTAGAGCCCACGTAGCCCGTGCCGTGCTCGGCCGTCAGGCCCAATAAACTCTGGTCGGGAACGGCCGCGTGCTGTGTTTTCCTTCCGCGTGCTCTAGTGACGGCAGCTAGAGGAGTGAAGCTGTCACGGGGTCTGGGGCCCCTTTTTAGCCATGAAATCTTGACCATATCACACCCCGTCTCCTTATCTGTAAGGAGACACGCATTTTGACAAGTCGGTGCCTGTTACAAAGTTCCCGGAGGCCCCAAGGATCACCCTCTGGCTCGGTAATGCATGAGGACGCCCAGAACCCAGCAACAAAAGGGTACAGACTAAAATCATCCAAGGAAAGACGTGCCGGGGTCCACGGGCAGCCAGACACAGAGCTTACAGCTGTCCCCTCCTGTCCCAGCGACGACGTGCATAGAGTATTACCAGGCAAGGAGCCGACCCGAACCTCAGGGATCAGTTTCCACTGGAGGCCAGTCCTCCGGCCCCTCCGGAGGTCAAGCCGATACCTCTGGGCTGAGGCCCCCGCTCAACAAAGACATCTGGGGTCGGGACGTTCCAAGGTCCTAGAGGTCACGTCCCAGGAGCCAAGGGCAAAGGCCAGACGGCTCCGTGCACAGTCTTGGCACACCCATCAACGAGCTATTCAACCACACGGGAGACCGAGACCCTAGACTTCCCCTCAAGTCCTGTTCTACTATCTCTAACTTCCCCTCTCCTGTCTTGGTGAGCAGCAAAGGTGTCCTACACAAAAGGCGCAAAGGACGAGGAAAGCGAGAACCACGGATCCCCCTCCCAAGGCAGGAGGGAGGGCAGAGACGGAGGGAGGCCGGAAACCAGGGCAGGTGGGAACCCCGGGGCCAAGGATGTGCCTGGAACAGGCAGCCTGTGACAGGGGGAGGGATCAAAGCGGTCACTGCTGGGAAGGTCCTCTGCCCAGGCCATCCCGCCGGCTCGGGCTCCCGCCTGCCGCCTCCTGGCCGGGCTCGTAGGCAGCAGAAGCGGCAGACTTGAGTCCTAGCGGCGCAGGTCCGAGCTGCAGGTGCTCGCAGCCAGCCTCTCAGAGCCCCTCGTTTCTCATCTGGAAAGTGGGGGGGAAGACCCTTCTTTGAAGACTGCCCGGCCCCCAAGAATGGTACATCACTGGGTCCCGCCGGCAGCTTCGGGAAGCGCCCCCGAAGCGGGGGCTGCTCTGAGGAGCTCAGCTGTTTTAAAAATATTCTCAGAGGGGCGCCTGGGGGGGCTCAGGCGGTTAAGCGTCCGACTTCGGCTCAGGTCATGATCTCACAGTTTGGGGGATCGAGCCCCGCATCGGGCTCCGTGCCGTCCGTTCAGAGCCTGGAGCCTGCTTCCAATTCTGTGGCTCCCTCTCTTTGC